AATGTGTTCAATACATCATGGTTTATCTTTATGTGTTCAATACATCATGGTTTATCTTCTTTATGTATTCAATACATCATGGTTTATCTTCTTTATGTATTCAATACATCATGGTTTATCTCATGGTTTATCTCCTTTATGTGTTCAATACATCATGGTTTATCCCTTAATGTGTTCAATACATCATGGTTTATCCCTTAATGTGTTCAATACATCATGGTTTATCCCTTAATGTGTTCAATACATCATGGTTTATCTTTATGTGTTCAATACATCATGGTTTATCTCATGGTTTATCTCCTTTATGTGTTCAATACATCATGGTTTATCTTTATGTGTTCAATACATCATGGTTTATCCCTTAATGTGTTCAATACATCATGGTTTAACTCTTTTATGTGTTCAATACATCATGGTTTATCCCTTAATGTGTTCAATACATCATGGTTTATCCCTTAATGTCTTCAATATATCATGGTTTATCCCTTAATGTGTTCAATACATCATGATTTATCTTCTTTATGTATTCAATACATCATGGTTTATCCCTTTATGTGTTCAATACATCATGGTTTATCTCTTTTATGTGTTCAATACATCATGGTTTATCCCTTTATGTATTCAATACATCATGGTTTATCTCCTTTATGTATTCAATACATCATGGTTTATCCCTTATTGTGTTCAATACATCATGGTTTATCCCTTAATGTGTTCAATACATCATGGTTTATCTCCTTTATGTATTCAATACATCATGGTTTATCTCTTTTATGTGTTCAATACATCATGGTTTATCTCCTTTATGTATTCAATACATCATGGTTTATCCCTTATTGTGTTCAATACATCATGGTTTATCCCTTAATGTGTTCAATACATCATGGTTTATCCCTTAATGTGTTCAATACATCATGGTTTATCTTTATGTGTTCAATACATCATGGTTTATCCCTTTATGTGTTCAATACATCATGGTTTATCCCTTAATGTGTTCAATACATCATGGTTTATCTCCTTTATGTATTCAATACATCATGGTTTATCCCTTAATGTGTTCAATACATCATGGTTTATCTCCTTTATGTATTCAATACATCATGGTTTATCCCTTAATGTGTTCAATACATCATGGTTTATCTTTATGTGTTCAATACATCATGGTTTATCCCTTAATGTATTCAATACATCATGGTTTATCCCTTATTGTGTTCAATACATCATGGTTTATCTTCTTTATGTGTTCAATACATCATGGTTTATCCCTTAATGTGTTCAATACATCATGGTTTATCCCTTAATGTGTTCAATACATCATGGTTTATCTTCTTTATGTGTTCAATACATCATGGTTTATCCCTTAATGTGTTCAATACATCATGGTTTATCCCTTAATGTGTTCAATACATCATGGTTTATCTCCTTTATGTGTTCAATACATCATTGTTTATCTTTATATGTTCAATACATCATGGTTTATCTCCTTATGTGTTCAATACTTCATGGTTTATCTCCTTAATGTGTTCAATACATCATGGTTTATTTCCTTTATGTGTTCAATACATCATGGTTTATCCCTTAATGTGTTCAATACATCATGGTTTATCCCTTAATGTATTCAATACATCATGGTTTATCTCCTTTATGTGTTCAATACATCATGGTTTATCCCTTAATGTGTTCAATACATCATTGTTTATCTTTATATATTCAATACATCATGGTTTATCTCCTTATGTGTTCAATACTTCATGGTTTATCTCCTTAATGTGTTCAATACATCATGGTTTATCTCCTTTATGTGTTCAATACATCATGGTTTATCCCTTTATGTGTTCAATACATCATGGTTTATCTCCTTTATGTGTTCAATATATCATGATTTAACCATTAATGTGTTCAATACATCATAGTTTATCCCTTAATGTGTTCAATACATCATGGTTTATCTCCTTTATGTATTCAATACATCATGGTTTATCCCTTAATGTGTTCAATACATCATGGTTTATTTCCTTTATGTGTTCAATACATCATGGTTTATCCCTTAATGTGTTCAATACATCAATACTTCCTATGTCGACAGCAACTATGAGTTTAAAAATTATTTCTCAGTACTTATTCACTGTTAAAATGCTGTACCGTTACTTTCACCATCCTACTACAGCCAGATCTGAAGGCCTTTGCCGCATTCTGGCCATGCTGTGTGGCGCGTATCGCGTGGACGGGTTTCACGTTCTCTGCACGTAATAAGCTCGGTTATTAAGCATCCTTTATTGGGGATGCCCGGTGGCCGAGGGGAAGACGTGTAGTGGCGTGAAGCTAGGCGATTAGGTGCCGTACGCGAGCGCCGGTTCGAGTCACGCACGCAGTACGTATTTACTATAATTAGACATAGTCTTTACCTTGCCGTTTATTCGGTGTTATTTGCTTACTTTACTTCCTATGTCGACAGCAACTATGAGTTTAAAATTATTTCTCAGTACTTATTCACTGTTATAATGCTGTACCATTACTTTCACCATCCTACTACAGCCAGATCTGAAGGCCTTTGCCGCATTCTGGCCACGCTGTGTGGCGCGGATCGCGTGGACGGGTTTCAGTTCTCTGCACGTAATAAGCTCGGTTATTAAGCATCCTTTATTTGGGGATGCCCGGTGGCCGAGGGGAAGACGTGTAGTGGCGTGAAGCTAGGCGATTAGGTGCCGTACGCGAGCGCCGGTTCGAGTCACGCACGCAGTACGTGTTTACTATAATTAGACATAGTCTTTACCTTGCCGTTTATTCGGTGTTATTTGCTTA